AACAGTAGGCACCGTAAGTAAAGTGTGTGAATCACTGCAATTTATAGCGTGTGTTATAAAAGTTATTAAGTTTAAAGTGACTGTGGAAATTCTGTGTATTACAAAAAGTTGTATTGAGAAAGAATAAACTAGTTTTAATCAAGAAGGGACTTGTATCGCTGAAGTTTATCGGAAAGAATTATTCCCGAAAATGATCAAACAAGCAGATACGTAACACTAGAATTTCACTTATGTATTAGCTCCCCAATGGTACAGCGGTATGTCTGCAGACTTACAATGCTAGAATCCGGGTTTCGAGAGAGCACAGATAGCCCGTTGTATAGCTTTGTGCTTAATTACAAACAAACACTTATGTATTAAGATCTTTCATTTTTGTATGTGCGTTACTTTACAATTTACTCGTTTCTTTTCTTTTTCTTCTCAAACTTACTGTTCTTTTTTGTCCATTAGGGTTTGTAAATTGATTTTTTATGTTTTTTATTTTACGTTAAGTATCCAATAACCTAATTTCTCATATACTAGAAATGCATCTGATTGAAATTTTAAACATAAATTATCATAATTTAAGTTAGTAAAGTCGCTGAATGTCCTCCTGATGACAACAAGACAGACATACAGTGGCATGTTCTAAATATCAAAAGCACATCACAACAATAGACACGACTGATATTTGTATATATTTGATTTGTGGTATTATCAGGGTATAATGATTTCCACAAAGAGTCTTAGATAGGTCCATTTTATAACAGGAGGATTTGCAGGATAAACATGAAGTAATATTGAATGAACTAAACAGAATAAATTTAAGCTATGAAATAAACAGACTGGATACAAGGTGTAATACAAAATCAAAGCAATATTTATTATTAACAAAGTAAAACACAATTTGTGTACTTGCATTTGGACAGTGAACAGTCACCTTTCACTTGACTCTTGAATTAATAAACTGGCTTATATCCCTTGAGCTGTCTTCTCATCAACCAACCTATTTAACATCCCGTTTATTACTTTTTAAACCTAACGTTTCTTATTTAACGCGAAACGTCAGATGTACCTATGGTAACTAGTATTACTCACATGACTGGTCATTTTCATTTAGCATGTTATCTGACCTATCTTTGGAGGACACCATTATATCGTCATTCTTGCACAATATGCAGCATTACAATAATTTCTTCCATGGGTAGAACAAGTATTATCTCTAGAGAACAACAAAGGAAAAAGGCAGTTATAATAATTCAACTTAATAATTTTCTGGACCATGTGTTTTGCAAGCACTGCACAAATTTAAAATAAACAAATTTTTCAAGATATTTTTGAATTAAAATACGAAGATAGAATACCACATATTTCCTTCCACCTCTGTTTCAGACTTGTCCTCGTGCCAACAATTAGATTTAACTTTAAAATGAATTAATCTTATACTTGTGCTCTGGCGAAGGAGTACATTAACTGTCTCTTGCTCCTGTAAATGCTTCCATGTAACATGGACAACAGAATCCTTAAACAAAGAATTACGACTTATAATCAAGACCCTTTAACAAATACTTTATAAAACAATACCTCATGAAATAATAAAGCAACATAAAGAAAACCTTCAATAATTCAATAAGATATAAGGCAAAAATAAAACAGTCTTAGACAATGAAATGATAGAACTAAAACCCTTTACTGCAGAAGTACATAATACAAAAATAAACCCTCTAACCCACACATATAAGTAAAATGCTTTTTAACAAAGAAAATCATACATTAGAAATAAACTTAACACAAATCACCTACATCCTATAGAAGGGGAGTAGCCTAACACACTATGCATAAGTACATAAAACAAAACAAAATGAAAACCTTTAACAATGATTAATCCTTTACTGGGCAAGAACTGCTCAAAAGGGAAAGGTTAATTATGCTGAAATGTAATAAAAAACACCCTTTAACAATGAAATTCACAAAATAACCATTCTCTTTAAGAGGATTGACCATACAGCAGAAATTCAAAATACAAAAGTTGACTCTTTATACACATAAAATATAATCATACAGGATATACCTATTTACAGGAAATACTTAAAAATAGAACATCCTTAAGATGCTAGACAAGATACAAACTAAAAAGAAATATGTAGAAGTATATAAATTAGGATAAAATATACAAAATATATACTTAAATTAATAAAACCAATTTATAAAATTTACAACACTCACCCAAATTCTGCACATGGCTCCACTTCTCCTTATCATAATCCCAACAGCAGATTCTAGAGTGTGGCAATTGTTTTATGAACGATTGCCAGGATTATCCTCAATGAGTTTCAGGCTTTGGCTGTGGCTTTTTTGTGTGTGTGTGTGTCCACATGCCCTTCTTTCTGTTGTAGTTAGCCAATGCCTTAGTCAAGTCAATAGCCATTTCCTGACAGTGTTGTTTTTATACACTGAGATCTGATCTAGCATGGAATCGATCGCTAACTCCTTAGGTGGTTTGTCAGGAACCCCACCCTTGGCTCTATGGGATTGGTCGTAGGATTTCTTTGCCAGTGGTGCCTTGGCAGTTATCATGGTAGAGTCTCTTCTCCTTGTTTTGATGATTCGGCTGATAGTTACTCTTGTTATCGATGTTGAAACCCCTGAGTTATCACATACTTCCTGTATGACAGCCTGAACCTCATCTATGACCTACGCTGTCCAGTCATCACATTAGTTCAGAGGTCTGTTATCTTAAGATAATTCTTTTTATAGAAGAATTACTCTTGAGGTAAACCTTGATACTCAAATACTTTATTTCTGTATTTGCCTCAGTTTTAGAACAAAGGAACACGAATAAC